TGCTCTTTTCAAGTTTATCGACCATATCTTGTACATCATCTTTTCCAAACCAACCTTTAATCTTGATGGTTGTTGATAGCATGAAAAAGCAGAATATAGAATGTACCTCGAGCGGTGAATATAAACTCATCGTCCTCAAGCGAGCTGTAAAGGCATTTCAAGAACGAGAGCCTAAATTCACAGATTTGGGAGGGCTATCAAGTTCACCGACCTACTTTATAGTGTCATCACTGATCACTCTAGCATGATTCCACATGAAACGCTGCAAGAGTTCCTTGTCATCCCATTTCTCAGCACAGTGCCACTGTATACAATAATCGCGGGCTCGCGCTTCGCCTCAAAATTCATGATAAAGAGAGAAATGAAGAAAATCAATGGTGTAATGTACCAAGTTCGTCCATCAACACGTGCAGCCGAATATACTTTTCATGACAGAGATCACTTGATAGCAGATTGAACCTACGATAGCACTGAGACACCACCTCCAATAAATTGGATGGAAGGGCCCCGCACGCAGGAGAAAAGTCGGCAATGAGACAGAGGAATATTTCTATAAATGGTTTGTATTCATATGAAAGAAAAAATGAAGAAGCCACACGGACCAAATAACTCAAACATTGTCCACGATCCCTCTTTGACGCTGGTCATCAACAAGAACAGCAGCAAATCAGTGTCTATATATTTCGAGGAGAGTTCTGGTGAAGGAGTGCGAGAAGGCCTCTTCATCAAGATTTCTTTGAGGGGCTGGATGTATTTTACCCCGAATCCCAAGCAACTTGCCAACTGAAATAAATACACGAATACTGCAAAGTGTAGGAATACACACTATAAGGCTTCCAAACCATTCTAAACATTCTATAGAAACGTAAAAATCAAAAGAAATGAAATGATATTTGAAAGAAATGATGGAAACATAGTCTTGAGTTTTGACGCTGCTGATAGCTGATATGTAACGATTAATGGGATTGTGAGATGCTGGACGATTGAAGATACGAACCTCAACAACCGGTAATGTTCCATCCAAGCGATGAATATCGGCAGCAGGCTCCTCAGCTGTATCCTCATCCTCAAGAGGTATCTCCATGGCGTTGCGCATAGACCTGCGCACGAAGCAATCACTAGCTTCAAAGAGACTAGTAGATCGCTGCCGGAACCTTCCCGTATGTGAAGCGGTCTAAGCAACCAAGCATAAACAACTCAGGCAAGTAATCCACAGACAGTCCACCTGGTTCACTAAATACTCCACCGTCTCAATTATGTCTAGAACACTCTCAAGCACACTTTGTGCATCCAGCAAGTTCCTCCGATCGTCCCATTGAGTAAAAATAACTTGTTGCAATGAGAGCTTAAAAAGGGATTTGATTGAGTAAAATCAAAAATAAGAATGACACCATTGCACTTCATGATTTCGGGAAAAAAGCAAACTCACAGAGGAGTAGGCCTC